AGCCCCGAGACGCGAAAACAACCGCACCGGTACAGGTCATGGAGCAGGCAATTTTCCGTCGTGGAGCTCCATGACCAATCATTCTCGCTTCACTCCCGGGCATTTTCCGGCAACATGGGAGGTCCGTAAAATCACGAATGACGTCTTCACGTTGAAGAAAAACGCTCGTTTCGGGCGTTTGTAGCCCCGAGACGCGAAAACAGCCGCACCGGTACAGGTCATGGAGCAGGCAATTTTCCGTCGTGGAGCTCCATGACCAATCATTCTCGCTTCACTCCCGGGCATTATCCAGCATAATCGGAGGTCCGTGAACTCACGACTAACATCTTTATGTTGAAGGAAAACGCTCGTTTCGTGCGTTTGTAGCCCCGAGACAAGAAAACAGCCGCACCGGTACAGGTCATGGAGCAGGCAATTTTCCGTCGTGGAGCGCCATTACCAATCATTCTCGCTTCACTCCCGGGCACTTTCCAGCATAATCGCAGGTCCGTGAACTCACGAATAACATCTTCACGTTGAAAGAAATCGCTCGTTTCGGGCGTTTGTTGTTGAGAGAATTAGGCAAAAGAGAGGGTTGAACTAGCAAGAATGGGGATACAAATAGCAAACCCTAGAAGGGTTGTACTCGCTACAGAGCACCCCACTGCAGGCTAGACAAATATAACATTCTGACACACCCCCATAGCCAAAGTGGGGTGTAATCAGCAGAGCAAGGAAAGCAGTACAAGCTCAGGGTGGATCACGATGTCACCACACATTCTGAGCACAAGTTCAAGAAGCAACAGTTTATAAGTTATGAGCAAAGCTAGAGGCGGTCACAGAGGACAAATGAGGAGGAGGAGGGCTGGCGAGAGGAGAAAGGAGTGGAGGCGACGACTGAAGCTGCAGACACACGGGCATCAGACGGCTCTGGCGCAACGCTAGTGGCTACCGGAAGCAGAGCCCCGGACTACAGGGGTAATAGTCGCTGCGGAGGGTGCAGCGGACCCACGGGCGACAGGTGCAGCCGGCTCTCTGAGCTACCGGAGGTCCGCGGAACCCCGGAATACAGGTGCTGCGGACGACACGACGGCAGTCTCCGCTCAACCTCCCCCAACAGTCCCACACCCCTCGACACACACCCCTTGCTTCACCCCTAGCTCCACTCCCACGGTACCCCCCCTTAAACCCCAAACCCTAGACTCCCACACACCACCCCCCTCAGCGGCAGCTGCAGTAGAGGGAGACTAGGGAGGAGGAGGAGTAGGTAGAGTAACGCACAACCGACACCCCCACAGCCGCCACCCCCACACTCCCCACCCCCAAACCCTAAAACGGGCGAAAGGGAGAAGGAGCGCGGGGGACGGCGAGGGGGAAGGCGCGCGACCCCCAGGGCGCCACCTCTGGGCAGCGGGGGCCGCGCGCGGCTCCCCAGGGCGCCTCGACGGGGCAGCGGGGGGCCGCGCGCGGCTCCCTAAGGCGTCGCGACGAGGCAGCGGGGGCCGCGCGCAGCTCCCCAAGGTGTCGCGACGAGACGTCGGGGGCGACGCGCGGGGCTGCGGGGCGACGCGGGGGGTCGACGGCGACGGGGGGAGGGCGCTTCGACGGTGGGAAACCGCCGCGCGCCTCGGGGCGCACGGCGTGCAGAAAACCGCCGCGCGCCCCGAGCGCACGGCAGGAAGAAGTCGTCGCGCGCCCGAGGCGCCCGGCAGGAAGTACAGCAGCGGAAGCATTAGGTGGTGGGCCCACCCACAGGATCGACCCAGGAGGGTCGACCTGCTCTGATAGCATGTTGAGAGAATTAGGCAAAAGAGAGGGTTGAACTAGCAAGAATGGGGATACAAATAGCAAACCCTAGAAGGGTTGTACTCGCTACAGAGCACCCCACTGCAGGCTAGACAAATACAACATTCTGACATTTGTAGCCCCGAGACGCGAAAACAGCCGCACCGGTACAGGTCATGGAGCAAGAGGGTTGCAAGCATCATCAGTCATCGGCGCTCGCGAATGAAGAGCGCTCGCTGCACTTCCTGCACATGTGCGGATCCTTCCACGTTTTGGGGCTAGAAGCGCTCGTTCCGAGCGTTTTTCTTCAGCAAGGTCACGTGGCTGCGCTTGTCTAGGCCTGTTGCCAAGCCAGCAAGGGCGTGGGAGGGTTGCAAGCATCATCAGTCATCGGTGCTTGGGAATGATAAGAATCTGCTGCACTTCTAGCACATGTGCGGATCCTTCCGCGTTTTGGTGATGAAAGCACACGTTCCGAGCGTTTTACTTCCGCCGGGTCATACGATTGCGCTTGTCTGGGCCTATTGTCAAGCCGGCAAGGGCGTGCGAGGGTTGCGAGCATCATCGGTCATCGGCGCTCGCAAATGAAGAGCGCTCGCTGCACTTCCTGCACATGTGCGGATCCTTCCGCGTTCTGGGGTTGGAAGAGCTAGTTCCGAGCGTTTTTTCTTTCGCCGAGTTACGTGGCTGCGCTTTTCTGGACCTATTGCCAAGCCAGCAAGGGCGTGGGAGGGTTGCGAACATCATCGGTCATTAGCGCTCGCGAATGAAGAGCGCCTGCTGCACTTCCTGCACATGTGCATATCCTTCCGCTTTTTGGGGCTGAAAGCGCTCGTTTCGAGCGTTTTTCTTCCGCCGGGTCATGTGGCTGCGCTTTTCTGGGCCTATTGCCAAGCCAGCAAGGGCATGGGAGGGTTGCGAGCATCATCGGTCATCGGCGCTCGCGAATGAAGAGCGTCCGCTGCACTTCCTGCACATGTGCAGATCCTTCCGCGTTTTGGGGCTGGAAGCGCTCGTTTCGAGCGTTTTTCTTCCACCAGGTTACGTGGCTGCGCTTGCCTCGGCATATTGTCAAGCCGGCAAGGGCTTGGGAGGGTTGCGAGCATCATCAGTCATCAGCGCTCGCGAATGAACAGCGCCCGCTGCACTTCCTGCACATGTGCAGATCCTTCCGCGTTTTGGGGCTTAAGAACTCGTTCCGAGTGTTTGTCTTCCGCAGGGTCATGTGGTTGTGCTTTTCTGGGCCAATTGCCAAGCCAGCAAGGGCGTGGGAGGGTTGCAAGCATCATCAGTCATCGGCGCTCGCGAATGAAGAGCGCCCGTTGCACTTCCTGCACATGTGCAGATCCTTCCGCGTTTTGGGGGTGGAAGCGCTCATTCCGAGCGTTTTTCTTCCGCCGGGTCACGTGGTTGCGCTTGGTTGGGCCTATTCCCAAGCCAGCTAGGGCGTGGGAGGGTTGCGAGCATCGTCGGTCATCGGCACTGGCGAGTGAACGCGCCTGCTTCACTTCCTGCACATGTGCAAATCCTTCTGCGTTTTGGTGCTTGAAGAGCTCGTTACGAGCGTTTTTCATCCGTCGGGTCATGTAATTGTGCTTTTCTGGGCCTATTGCTAAGCCAGCAAGGGCGTGGGAGGGTTGCGAGCATCATCAGCCATCGGCGGTCGCGAATGAACAGCGCCCACTGCACTTCATGCACACGTGCAGATCCTTCCTCGTTTTCAGGCTGGAGGCGTTCGTTCCGAGTGTTTTTCTTCTGCCGGGTCACGTGGTTGCGTATGTCTGGGCCTATTGCCAAGCCAGCAAGGGCGTGGGAGAGTTGCGAGCATCATCGGTCATCGGCTCTCGCGAATGAAGAGCGCCCGCTGCACTTCCTGCACATGTGCAGATCCTTCCGCGTTTTGGGGCTAGAAGCGCTCGTTCCGAGCGTTTTTCTTCCACCGGGTCACGTGGCTGTGCTTGTCTGGTCCTATTGCCAAGCCAGCAAAGGCGTGGGAGGGTTGTGAGCATCATCGGTCATCGGCGCTCGCGAATGAAGAGCGCCCGCTGCACTTCCTGCACATGTGCGGATCCTTCCGCGTTTTGGGGCTGGAAGCGCTCGTTCTGAGCGTTTTTCTTCCGCCGGGTCATGTGGTTGCGCTTGTCTGGGCCTATTGCCAAGCCAGCAAGGGCGTGGGATGGTTGCAATCATCATCGGTCATCGGCGCTCGCGAATGAAGAGCGCCCACTGCACTTCCTGCACATGTGCGGATCCTTCCGCGTTTTGGTGATGGAAACACTCGTTCCGAGCGTTTTTCTTCCGTCGGGTCACGTGGCTGCGCTTGTCTGGGCCTATTGCCAAGCCAGCAAGGGCGTGGGAGGATTGCGAGCATCATCAGTCATCGGCGCTCGCGAATGAAGAGCGCCCGCTGCACTTCCTGCACATGTGCGGATCCTTCCGCGTTTTGGGGCTAGCTGAAGAGCTCGTTCCGAGCGTTTTTCTTCCGCCAGGTCACATTTTTGCGCTTGTCTGGGCCTATTGCCAAGCCAACAAGAGCCTGAAAGGGTTGGGAGCATCATCGGTCATCGGCGCTCGCGAATGAAGAGCGCGCGCTGCACTTCCTACACATGTGCGGATCCTTCCGCGTTTTGGGGCTGGAAGCGCTCGTTCCGAGCAACCATTCTGCCTGGGAAAAAAAAAAAAAAAAAGACAAAAAGAAAAGAGGACTGTTTTTGCCTAGATAGTAGACATATATGTCTTAGCTCGTACACGGGAAAAAATGTGTGGGTTATCTTGTATTTGGGACCGTTTAGTGTGTCTTATAGGTCTTATAAATGGAAACAAAAAAAAAAAAAAAGAATAAGAACTTTGTAAGATTTGCAAAGTGTGTAGAAACCACCCGGGGCCAGGTTCATTGAAACAAAACGACCGCGGTGGTGATTCATGCAGCGCCCCCACTTGCTACGTGATGGATGCAGCAAAGTTGCCACTGCTGGCAAGATTCCTCCGTGCCGGCAGCATCTAATGATGCTGCCAGCAGCGCATGGATGCTTCCAGAACGCTGCTGGCAGCACGATGGCAGGTTGAGGGCTTTTCTCTACGAGGAGTCGTAGAGGAGCGGCTCGGCACCTTTGGAAGGGGCAGTCTGGCTTGGGGGGGGGGGGGGGGGGGGGGGGGGGGGGGGGGGGCTCGGCCTTGAGCTTCATTTGGTGCTCAATGAGGTTGAGATCTCAACCTTTGCTCTCGGCAGCTTAACCATGCGCAGAAAAGTACCCGTAGGCACGTCCTCACCTCGCCCTCACGTGCAGGTGAATAACTACGGGCGAATTAACTCACCCGGTGATAACATCCGTGTAGCCATGGCGAAGAACCCGAGCAAGCCGGGAAGATCTACCACCGCCTCCGGTGCGAGCTGTGACGGGGACGACGGCGACGAAGAACACGACGACGACGACGAGGAGGATTGGCCTGAGAATGGCCACGATGACAGTGCGTCGGGAGATGAAAAGGCTCCAGCCGACATCGAGGAGGACGATTGGTGGAATCGGAGGGTTAGGAGTGAAGACGAAGTGGAGGAGTGGCGGGTTGGTGATTCGGACAACGACGGAGGTGCCGATGCTGATGGTGACCACGCGGAGGCAGTGGCGCATGCTACGGGAGAGACTGATGCGAATGCGAAGGGTGACGGGTGCGTTGAAGCGGAAGCTGCTACGGAAGAGGAGGCGGATGCGGACGAGGATGCAGTTGCGCCCGTGGATGCAGATGCTGTAGCAAAGGTGGATACGGTTGCTGCGGGGGGAGCTGCTAATGACGACCCGTGGAGCATCTCGTCGGACGACAATGTTCCGCTGCTGAAGAAGAGGCTACGTCTTCGCCTCCAATCCAAGCCGGAGCGTGCCCGCGTGGTGCTCTCCGATGACGAAGACACGGGGGAGGAGCGTCCACCTCGCCTCACTGGTGCAGACAAGGGGAAAGCCAAGGTCGTGGATGCCCCTGCAAGCAACAAGAAACGGAAGCAGGATGGAGCCAAGGTTGCGGACGCCCCTGCCACCGCTCGTCGCCGAACAAGCAACAAGAAGCGGAAGCAGGACGGAGACCCGGGATCCAGCGCGGGGGCTGCTAAGAGGAAGAAGAAGAAGGCGGTAAACCGGGACGACATCGTTGTTAACGAGGCGCTCGGCAGCGACGCTGAATACGAGAAGGCTACAGGCCCGATTCCTGCCTTCCCTGAGAAGGCGATGCCAAAAGACCCCACCCTCGATAATCCCAATTCCCGTCCACCTTCCCCTCGCAGCAAGGACAGTACGAAGAAGAGGCGTGGATGGACCGTACGCGAAAAACTCAAGTGGGTGCGCCGCTACCAGGAGCTAGGCTCCTTGAAGAAGACATTCGCAGAGTCTACAGCATCCATCGTCTGCATCAGACACTGGAGTGCGGAGGCTGCTGCGGGCCTCTACAAGGGAGCGACGAACTGCCGCAGCGGATGCACGGGGGGGGGCGCCACTCACACTACCCCGACATGGAGGCGGCGTTGTACCGCTACATCTGCCTGCAGCACGCGGATGGTGTGGCGATCTCGGTGAAAGACACCCAGAAGTGGAGCCGCGAGTGGATGAAGAAATACCACCCCGGCAAGAACTGGAACGCGAGCTCTCACTGGAGCCAGCGTTTCCGTGACCGCTGGAACCTGGTCATGCGTGTCAAGACGAAGGTCGGCCAACAGTTATTGGCTGGTGAGTTGTGTAGGGATTATGTTCGCGCGACCGATTCATGACTGCATGTTCCTCTCCTGCCATGTGGTATGTTCCCTTCCGCAGATTGTGCAAAAGACTGCAAGTCATTCTGGAAGTTTGTGCGCATCAACAGGGTGCGGCACAACATCAACGTGGCCCGCATCATCAACGTGGACCAGACGCCACTATTCGGGGAGATGCCAGCCGAGAGGACGCTCGAGCACCGTGGCGCGCGTTCGGTCCCAATCCGCACTGCAGGATACCAGAAGATGCGGTTGACGGTGATGCTCGCGTGCACGGCATGCGGGGAGAAGCTGCGGCCGTGGGTGTGGTTCAAGCTGAAGAACGTGCCCAACTGTGAGATTCCGGAAGGTAAGCTTAAGGAGTTAAAAAGCCGAATGCTTGATGAGCTTGCCCCACTGTGCTGATACTCGTTTGTCCCCTATGCGCCTGGCAGGAATCGTGGTCCAGGCACAGGACAACGGGTGGATGGACGAGAGCGCTGTGCAGACCTGGCTGACCAAGGAGGTGCTGCCCCATCTGAACCCCTAGCGCGGCCAGAACTCGCGGCGTGCGATGCTGGTGTTGGACTCCTACCGCGGCCACATCACCCAGACCATGCTTCAGTCGTACCGCACGCACAGCATCACCCCTGCAGTGATCCCAGCGGGTTGTACGAGCCAGATTCAACCCCTGGACGTCTCCATCAACCGGTGCTTCAAGGCTGCCGTGCGAGCGCGCTACGCCAGGTGGTTCATGCGTGAAGGGATTCACCTGAAGACGAAGAAGGGTGAGTTAGACTTTCTAACTAAATTTCTGCTCCTTTCCTGTCCATGTCTCTAACATCTCGCTGCCCTTGCCTCTGTCCTTGATGCAAGGAACCTGCGGAGGCCTCCGCACCCCGTGGTGCTGCAGTGGATCGCGGAGGCTTGAGATCAAGTCCCCAAGCAGGTCATCATCGACGCGTTCCGCCACTGTGGGATTTCCAGCAAGCTGGACGGAACAGAGAACCACCTGGTGATGTCTCACCTGCGCGCCAGGAGCACCACCGATGTCTCCGAGGACATGACCCTCGGGGGGACCACGGGCGACAACACTCGCCTGCTTGGTCAGGCTCCAGAGGAGGAGGAGGAGGAGGAGGAGGAGGAGGAGGAGGAGGAGGAGGAGGAGGAGGAGGAGGAGGAGGAGGAGGAGGGGGAGGAGGAGGAGGAGGGGGAGGAGGAGGAGGAGGAGGAGGAGGAGGAGGAGGAGGAGGAGGAGGAGGAGGAGGAGGAGGAGGAGGAGGAGGAGGAGGAGGAGGAGGAGGAGGAGGAGGGGAGGAGGGGGGGAGGGGGAGGAGGGGGAGGAGGAGGAGGAGGAGGAGGAGGAGGAGGAGGAGGAGGAGGAGGAGGAGGAGGAGGAGGAGGAGGAGGAGATGCAGGCGGAGGGCGTGAGAGAGTTGGCCGTGGCAACCGGCCTGGAGGTGCTGTACCAGGAGACCCCCAACTACCGCGGAGCGGCGGCCGAGGCTGACCGCATGATCGAGCCTAGGGAGACGGCTAGGCATGCCTGGCGAGTGCCAGACCTGGGTGTCAGGGAGCCTGCTGTTAGTGCAGGCGAGGAGGCGGTGACTGAGGGGGGTTAGGTAGAAGTAGAGATTCATGAATGTATGCATGTACCCCCTTAAATCAATAAAGTCTCATTTACAAAACACCCCCTATTTATAAGAAAACTTCTAAACCCCGGTTCGGATTATACGGTAAGACATCGGGAAAATATGTCAATGGTAACTTACATGGGGCACTGTAACGCGTACGGTAACGATTTCAACGCGTTTGGTAACTCGCTTAACGCGTTTGGTAACTCGCTTAACACGTTTGGTCACTCGCTTAACACATTTGGTAACTCTACACTAGCAGCCCATCACGCGAATGGTAACTACATGAAATTCCCGCCGAAATTGAGCCTGATTCTGGTTTTTCCCGCTCGCGTCAGAATAAATTGACGAATCCTGAAGCAGAAACCTCTGACACACTCTCTGAAATTCTGACACAGTTTTCCGAAATTCTGACACACTTTCCGAAATCCTGACACACTTTCCGATTTTCAAGCTAATTGCAAAAACGTAAGTGTTGTGAAAACAAAACTTCATATACAATTGATATTCTGGCGCTCTTTCCGCAAACTGTTTGTACTTTATTCTATCGTGCAGCCGGGGCAAACAAATCTATACCCCTTTCAAATGGCAGAAAAAATTGAGAGCAACAACCTTTAACTTCTTGCGACCAGGCGTTTGTGGTTCTTTATTAAAAAAAAAAAAAAAACGAACCATGTAATTTTCAAGAGGAGTATTTTTCCTACATGAAAAAAAAAAATCTCCGACGTTGCACTTATTATAAACAGTAAACGTTGAGGGAAATGTTTTTTTTTTTTTTGCAAGTTCGCAATCATGCTATCAAAAATATGCTTTTAACCATTTTTCTACGAGCTACATATATATATAATGGCCCTGAAACTTTGTGGTCCGTGGTATTAGAGGAGACGGGGGTCCTTCAAATTCGCGGCGGGACTTGTTCGAAAAAATAATAATATTGTGCGTAAAAGCTTTCAATCTCGATAAATTCCTCTTTGTCAGGATCATTTCGGCGGGAATTTCATGTATTCGCGTAATGGGCTGCTAGTGTAGAGTTACCAAATGTGTTAAGCGAGTGACCAAACGTGTTAAGCGAGTTACCAAACGCGTTAAGCGAGTTACCAAATGCGTTGAAATTGTTACCGTACGTGTTACAGTGCCTCATGTAAGTTACCATTGACATATTTTCCCTAAGACATATACCGTCTGGCCCCGGATAGTAGCGCATATGCGCTTATAATAAAATCTCGGTTTTTTTAGGGGGCGCTTGTAATCGAGTAACGGCCATAAGCGCATGCGCTTATATGCTGACAAATACAGATTTTTACTTCTAGGGTACCAAAATGTACATTTCATTGTTGCCATTTGAACCGAGTCGAACTAATATAGCGTCGCAAAGCAGAATCGCGCGCAAGCGATTCTGCTTCCCGCACGCAGAGCCAATGTCACGTCAATCTGCACGCATGCCAGCAGAACGTGACTGGACTCGCATCCAGTCAGGTCTTCGAGAGTCAAACTAAGCGAGAATGAGATAGGACTCGCTGCAAATATGAAATTCGTTACCATTTCGAACACGACTCTATAGTAAAAGTGTATGTGCGCTTATAATAAGTAAAGGTTTCACAGGGGGGGCGCTTATAATCGAGGATCGGCCATAAGCGCCATGCTCCAGATAGAAGCGCCGGCGCCTTTAATCGGACGGCGCTTATATCCGGGGCCATACGGTATGTCTTATCTCGGTCACACAAATAGGTGTCGTATAAAAAGGCTAGCCTGTTTATAAGAGACACCCGTATAATAGACAACCCCTGTCTACTATTCAACATATATCCGGGCGATGACGGTGTAAAAATTTTCGCTGAAATTCGTCTGATAACCAGAGCCCCGCCAGATACGCTCCCTACGAAGTAAAGACAATGAAGCAGGCTCACTTAATTATACATGGAGCAAATTATCTACGATGTTGTGATTCACACTTTTCTATTACACAACTTGTAACTGGCAAGACGAATGCAAAAAACAAATCACTGGAATTTATGGGCCTGGATTAGGCTTTTGAGTACATTGTTGGGTGTTAGGCATGTATGCTGCAGTTGCTGACCAGTGGATGGAGACACACCGGATGTGGCCATCCAGCGTGCAATGTGCTCCCTCTCATACGTGAAACCATCAGCTGCCACCACAGGGTCGCGCATAATTTCCTGCACAATAAAGGAATTGCAGCATACCATATGGATCCAAGGTAAGCTTAAGCAAAGTTAGGCTCATGAATCCTGAAACGTGTCATGTAGATTGTGAGCAAAGACCTCGAGAGTTCTGCATACCTTCGAAATTGGGCAAATGAATTGCGAGTCAATCCTCTTCTTCCGTCTCTTTTCTTCCGCCAGTGCCTCTTTTGCAATCTCAGCCAGAGCTGGGTGGATGACCTCAGCCAGGTCGGGCCGCCTCTCCCTCCTGCGCTCCGCACACTGCAGCGCGATGCTCGCTGCCCTCTCCGCCAGGTCCAGCCGCCAGTCGCCCGCCGAGCTGTCCAGGTACTTGAGCAGCGCCTCGCCCGTCACCGCGCCGTCCCCTGCCCGTCCGCGCCCGTCCCTGGCGGCCAAGTCATGAAGATCTGCCAGCAGACGGTGCACGGCGCGCACACTGCGCTGCCCCGTGAGCAGCTGCAGCATGATGAGCCCCAGCGCATACACATCGGACAGCACGCTGATCTCACACGTCTCCACCTCCTCGGGGTCGATGTACCCCGCCGTGCCGCGCACCTTCATCGTCACGCTGTCGTCCGCCTGCAGCAGCCGCGCCAGCCCCACGTCGCCGATCTTGCTCGCCAGGTGCCCGTCCAGCAGGATGTTGTCGGGCTTTAAGTCGCGGTGCACGATGGGCGGCTCGTTCTGGTGCAGGTAAAGCAGCGCCGACGCCACCTCCGACAGGATGCGCAGCCGATCCACCCACGGCAGCGGCGCTGCATCGGGGGACTTGGGCGGGCCGAGCTTGTCCTGCAGCGTGCCGCCCGGGAGGAACTCGTAGACGAGCGCCATCTCCTCGACGCAGCATCCCATGAGCAGCACGATGTTGGGGTGGCGCATGCGGCTCAGCACCTCCACCTCCATGTGGAACTCCTCCGGCCCCTGCCACCCCTGCCCCTCCAGCCGCTTCACCGCCACCTTGCACCCCAGCATCTCGCCGCGGAACACCATGCCGAACGACCCGCGCCCCAGCAGGTTGCTCTCCTCGTACCCCCCTGTGGCGCGCTCCAGCTGCTGCGGGGTGAAGAGGCGGCAGTCAATGCCGCCCTCGCTCATCAGCTGCGCGGCGGAGCGCGGGCTGAGCGGGCCGCCTCCAAAGGAGGTGCGGCCGATGGAGAGCCCCGCGGCACCGCCGCTGCCGGCGGTCTGAGAGGAGTGCGCGTGGAAGCGCTGCCAGGAGAAGCGGTTGGAGAAGTCCCGCGAGCGCGTGGCCGCACCCGAGTGCAGCTCCGTGGACAAGCCTTCAAACCCCCCCGCACCCCCCACCCCTGCTACCGCTGATGCCCCACCCCCCACGCCTGCAGGCTGGCCAGCAACAGGCGTGGAGGAGGCGTCGTCGTGTTGAGTCCAGTGGCGGTTGTGCGGCCCGCTCAGGTGCAGCGCGCGCTGCTGCGACACCGACTGCCGCTGCACGCCATGTCCGTGGGAAAGGGAATTGACATGCATGCACACACAGGTTATGAGCTAACAGGCATGTGCGCAGCAGTGTTGAACAGAAGCAATGCACAACATGCTACGATGGAAAAGCCACTCACACAGAAACGCAAACAGTGGCACGAAGGTGTGGTGAAAATTGGGTGAATTGTGTGTATGAAGCATGTAACTCGCAGCTCTGTCTGAGAACTCACCCCAGATCGACTGTCCCCCCCCGCTGCCTCCATTCCCTTCTCTGCCAGGCGGTTGCTGCTGACAGCCCTGCCCTCCCAACGCTCGCCCCCGCCCGCAGCGCCCTCCTCCTCGTCCAGCCGAGCCAGCTCGTCAGCCAGCGACCGCGACCCACTCCCACCTTCCTCCCTCTCCTCGCCCCTGCTCCTCCCCGCCTGCCCGCCCACCTCCCTGTCCTCCTGCAGCGCCACCAGCGGCTCCATGCTGCCGCGCCGCCCCGTGCTGCCGTTCAGCGCCGGGGACAGCCGCGATGCAGCGGCGGCGGCAGCAGCGGCGTCCAGCGTGAGCGCGTTGGACGAGGCGGCGCGCGTGTGCTCCCTGGGGCCCTGCGCGCCCGCTGCTGACGACCGGATGGGCGGCAGGCCCGAGGGGCGGGTCATGCCCACGTCGGAGGAGCAGCGGCGGAACCTCTCAGCGCTCTGCTGGTCCGCGTCCAGTGACTGCCTCGCTGCTCTTCCCTCCTGCTCCCACCACACACCACCCATGGCATGGCACACTGAATAAGTAAAAGCAGCCGTCACGAAGGGCCCATGGACACAAGCAATCGAGGTTGGTTGATGCACAGGAGTGAAGTGGAAGCAGGCAGGAAGCACAGAGCACTCACAGGGTGTGAGCTGGCTGACATGGCTGCCAGGGGACTGGCTCCCAGCGGGCTGGCCCCCAGCGGGCTGGCTCCCAGCGACATGGACGCCAGGCTGCCCCTCACAGGCGACTCCCATGCGCCCTCTGCCGCGCCCTCCTCCCTGCCTGCCGCCGCCAGTCCCTGCGCGTGCAGCGGCGTGGATGCCCCGGGAGTGCCGCTGGAGGGCGAGCAGCTGTCAGAGCCAGCAGCAGCGCTGTGGGCCACGCGGGCAGCGCCGTCGCCCAGGGGGCTGCCCGGGGCGGGCAGGGTGGAGGGGTCGGGGGGAGTGCACTCGGGTGCGGCCCCGGGCACGGAGAACTGGCCGCTGGAGTGCAGGCTGGGCGGGGGCGAGGAGGCGGGCGCGGAGGTGTCACTGGCAGCGGAGAGGGATGTGGGCATGGTGCGGTGGGCGGCGGGGGACGAGCAGGACGACGCCAGGTGGCTGCCTGGCAGCGCTCCGTTGTGGTGCGAGGAGTCCGGCGTGGCGGCGCCCGAGTCGGGCGAGTGCAGCGAGGAGGCGGCAGAGGCGTTGAAGCGACACGCAATGAAGGCGTTGGGCGGCACGGGGAAGGTGGCTTGCATGCCCCCCGTGCCGGGCAGCGAGTGCATCTTCTTTGAGCCGTGCGCCACCACCAGCGTGCATGACGGCGGCAGCAGTGACTGGTACGCCGATGAGGATGATGACCAGCTCAGCAGCTTCCTGCACGCATGCACAGCACAGCACAGCACGTATGGCAACACACACAGCTCATGCACAATGCGTTACTCTCCCAGCAAATACAGGTATCACAGTCCATACTGGTGCATGAGGTGCTTAACCAAAGTGTGCGAGTGCAAACGCGTGGTAAGCGGTTGGGGTGGGGCAATGTAGTGAAGAGGCAGAAGCGCAGTTCCGGGCGGCGATGTACACGCGCCCCCGCACTCACTTGCGGGCGGCGATGTAGACGCGGTCAGCGTTGGCTCGCCTGGCTGCCGCGCACAGCCCTTGATCGCGCGAGTCGTTGCGCTCCAACGCTGCACTGCAGTGGACCTGCGGAAGCCCAACACCCGCCCACGCCCACGCCCGCGCCTCCGCCCACGCCCACGCCCTTGCACACACGCCCATGCACAATCCCCATGCACACGCCCACACAGCCATTCACACACGCCCATTCCCACGCCCATTCCCACGCCCATTCACACGGCAGACGAGGGGGGTAGGCACGTGGAGCACGAGTTTGGGACAGCACGATTGTTTCAAACGGATCAGCCGGAATGTGGAGGGCGGAGGGCAGGTTGGCATGGAGGGAGGGAGCGGGGGAAGGGCGCGGTTGAAAGAGCGGAGGGAGGGCGCGGTTGAAAGAGCGGAGGGAGGGCGCGGTTGAAAGAGCGGAGGGAGGGCGCGGTTGGGGGAGCGGAGGGAGGGCGCGGTTGGGGGGGCAAGGGGAGGGCACGGGTGGGGGGTTGGAGGCTTACGTGTTTGGCCTTGGCGTAGGCGAGGACGGGCCGCAGCATGACCTCCACGAGGCGCCGGCCGTGCTCCATTGCCGTCTTCGGATCCACCTCGCTCGCCGGCAGCTCCATCCCGCCTGCTCCGCGCGCGCGCGACAAGGGAGGCGGGGAAATGAGGGTGTGAGGGGGCAGAAGGTGAGGCTCTCGCTTTTGGCGAGCGGTAAACATCACAAGAGGATGGGCAGACGATGAGGTTGGGTGGAAAGGCGGGGGAGAGGGGGTGTGAAAAAAAATGCGGAGTTGCGGGAAATCGGAAGTAGATCACGAGATACGTGAGCGCGCGACCCTGGCATGCGCGCGATGCTGCTGCGCCGCGGGCGGCACGTCGCGACGCAGCCTGATCTCTGCTCTCGCCGTATCGCATCGCGAGCCCGCGGCCCGCAACCCGCAGCCCCGAGGAAGCGGCGAGTGCGTTGGCGGCGGTCAAGCAAGACGACGGCGACGGAACGGGCGCGGAGAAGGGCGATAGGAGAGAGAGGGCGGGGTTGAGCGAAGGTAGTGGGAGAACGGTGCGACGCACGCGAGCAGGGCACTTCGGTCATGACGTGCACGACGAGAATGTTCGGCGCGCGCCCCTGCGAAGGCGACTGCGCGAGCGCGAGGGAGTCGGCGATGGCGAGGCAGAGCGCGTCCTTGCTCTGATCCTTGTACTTGGTCACCTCCACCACCCACGTCGCCGCCGCCGCCGCCTCCATCGCCGCCGCACCGCAACGCGCTACTCCACGGCTCGGCTGCAGGTGCTACGGTCATGAGATGTCTAGAGCTATTGGGCAGTTGACGCGAGAGTCGCCAGATAAGGTGTTGAACGAGGGAAGTGAGGTGTCGCTAACCCTAGACTGATGTCTTGAACGAAAGCCGGCACCCTCGTGCGATAGGCTGCCGCACCCGCATGGGTGCAGTGCAGTTATGTGCATTTGGAAACGAACTACAAAAGTCAGTTATATGAAGAATAATTATGGTACTCAACTCATATCGGTACCGTATTTGCAGCTAAATCGTCTTGTTCACATAAATAAACTATCATGCCAAGCCCTGCAGCATATGGAGCAATTCCCTCACCATTAACGCCACGACCGACAATGCATACATCATAATAGTGCTCTTGTTTGCTGTGCATTTGCTGTGCATGGTACAATTGCATTGTAGTATCCTTTATACGGGCTTAGCTTGTCATTCCAAAATTCGACCTAGCACATTAAACACCATCACCTCACCACCACGTAAGTAGGTTCAGGAATGCACAGGTACAAAAAATGTGAGTTTAGTACGAGTCAAACATTACGGTAAATGAGAGGGAATGTCATTATAGGCAGATACGATATCCAAGAAATGCCGTCCCAGGTCAGTAGCCAATGCTAATGACTCTGGCACTGCAGAAAAAATGGCGCCACTGGAGCGAACCAGGTATAATTGCAGCAAAGTGGCCATTTAGCAGGTGGGACAAGTGGACAGCAACTAGCCAGTGCAAAGGAAGCCGAAGCAGTTTGCAAAATTGTTCCCAACGCATTGCAGTCCGCTGCAGCGCCAGTCGGTGGGACACATGACAGGCGAGGCAGTGGCGCACAGAACATCTGCAAGCTCAAGCACAAGTACAGGTACAGGTGGGCGGGGCAAAGAGAGGGGAGAGTGAGTGGCAAGGGGAGGCATTGCACAACATGGCACGCCACTTACACGTGTACCAATGGCAGCAGCACCCTGCCCTTGTGCACCCCACACTCACTAACGCAAGCCAGCGGCAGCGTGGCGGCCCCAACAGCATTGGGCGTGCCAGCCGCGAAGGGCGCAGAGGCATCGACGGTGCAGATGCCGCGGCCGTAGCACAGCATGCCCTGCGCTGTGTCCGAGAGGCAGAAGCTGCACCCTGTGGTGCGCTGCGCCGTGCCCTTGGTGGTGCACCCAGTCACGGCCTGGAAGCAGTTGTTGTTGGCGCCGCATGATGTGGCGGTGTTGGCCGGGAAGGAGCCTGAGAGGAAGTTAAAGCCCACGTCGATGTCCTTGAGCCCTGCCGCCAGTGGCGGCACGCGGTATGTGAGGTAGTTGTAGGACAGGCCACTGGCATGGGGGAAGAAGGGAAAAGGGGGATGGGGGAGGGGCAGATGGATGAGAGCAGGAGGTGCCGTGATGACAACCTACTTGATGGCACAAGAGTTGACACAGAAGCAGTGGTCATAAGGGGTTGGCAGTTTGCTAAGGAGCAGACACATGCACGGCAGCATGGAGGTGGCGCTTACAGGCGCGTGAGCTTGGGCATGGCAACGAGGCCAGGAGGCAGACTCCCGTAAAACCAGTTGAAGTCCAGCAGGCTGCCGCATGCACGTGACCAACACGCACAGCATGGCCCACACGCACAGCATGGCCCACACGCACACACATATCCATACACAATGGGGTGCAGAGGGAGGAAAGGAATAGGGGGTCAGTTGGCCAGGCGAGGTGGTGTGGGAGAAGAAGGTAGACGGTGAGAGAAGAATAGGCGATGCAAACAATGCATTGCACTGCGAGGTTGAGAGGCGACTCACAGCACGGCAAGGTTGGGCACCGATGGAATCTTGCTGGCAAACTCGTCCAGACGTGCCCTGAAGAGGTTCGACTTGAGTGAGCTGCCGTGCACACGCCAGTGGCACACGCAGGGAGGAAGGGTGAAGTGGGGGTTTAGATTGGTGGTGGATGAGAGTAGGGGGCAGCCAGCTGACGAGCCAGCATGTGCACGGCCAATCATGGAGCGGCACATGAGCATGTGAGCTCACAACACTTGCTCCAGCATGCGAGCATGTAGGCAAGAGTGAGTGCTCAGGGAATGATAATTGCGTGTAAGCCCTATCTTGCATGTTTCCCGTTGCGGCCATGGTTGAGAATGAACCTGGCGTTACTGTTTTTCTTGGTGAACCTTGATTACAGGAAGTTGAGTGCTGATGTGAATATTAGTGATCATAAGAAAGTGTGCTTACAGGAGTGTGAGTGCAGTGAGCTTGGTGATGTCGGCATGCAGAATGCCATACAGCTTCTGACTGTCCAGGGTGCTGTGGGGAGGCGGTCGCGGACGGGAGGGGGCCAGAAAGGCGGTAAGGAGGGATGGTGGGAGCACAGGGAGGAAGTGGAGTGAGTTAAGTGAGGCCGGGCGTGCTGGAGCAGGATGGGGAATGGATGGGAGAAAGCGGATGGGAGATTCGAAACAGGAACAAATACACAAGAGCACAGAGGCGGTTCCTTCTCCACTGACACGATTCCCTTGCTTTTGTTCGACCCGCGTAAAGTAACCATAACACCCACCCAGGGAAGGCCCTCACTAGTCCTCGCTGCTCACATCTTGATGGGGTTGCCGAGCGAGTTGCACTCGACGCCGGTGAAGCCGCCGAGGGCCGTGCCGGCAGCAGTGCAGGGGGAGGTGGTGGCCCAGTCCGTGTACGTCACCCCCAGCGCCGTCTTGATGTTCATCAACGCCGATACTGGTGGGAGGGGCGGTGGGACACATGGGAAGGAGAGATGAGAGGCATGGGCAAGCACATGGGCTGCAGGCGTGAGAGTCACGGTGGCAGCAGCATGAGGCCCAGGCGCAGCGCAGCCATACCTGCGGTGGCGTCGGTGGTGACGGGCTGTAGGGGAGGGCAGGTGATGGCGAGCTGGGGTACGCCGCTGCTCGGGCGCGTGGTGGTGGCCCGCACGGCCGCGGGGTCGGGCTGGCACGTGGTGGTGCCGCCACACAGCGTGCCGTTGGCGTCCTTGGTGCCGCACACGGCGCAGGAGTAGCGCTGGATGATGTTGCCGTTGCCGCAGGGCGTGGGGTCGATGAAGCAGTTCTGTCGCACGGTGCAGAAGTCCCACGTGGCCGTGGTGGTGGCAGCCGTGGGGAAGGTGTAGGTGAGCCAGTTGTACTCCAGGTCCAGCACCCTCAGCTTCGATGGCATGTCCGGCACCGTGCCCGTCAGGTAGTTCCAACCCAGGCTCCTGTGGAGCGCACGCACACGCACATGTGCAGCGGGGAAGGGGTGGGGGATGGCGCATGGCAAGGTGTGGCACAGCATGCTGAGAAGATAGTGCATGGAATCCAGGAGCGTGGTCGAGGGGGACGGCAGTGCAGGGGGCTGAGAGCATGCGGTGGCAGGGCAGGGGGCTCACAGCATGAGGAGGTTCTTGATGGAGGAGATGGAGGCGGGGATGGAGCCCGAGAAGAAGTTGTAGTTCATGATGCTGCGGCACGGCACGCGGGCACACACGGGGGGGAGGAGGGCAAGTTCCACACGGCAGGTTAGAACAGAGGAGGGACGGGCAGGAAAAACGCACCAAGAGCAGCCAAGGTACAAACAAAAAATGCAAGAGAGTGCGGGAAAAGAGAGGGCGGGGGATGGTGGGAGGCGCACAGGATCTTCATGCCGGCGAGGCCGGTGAGCGGCGTGATGAAGGGGTCCAAGCGCCCCGACAGGAAGTTGCCCGACAGGTCGCTGCAGAGGGGGGGTGGGGGGGGTGGAGAGGGGGATGAGGGGAGTCATGAGAAGATGGGAGAGCAGGAGGGCGAGCTGTTGTGGAGGGCGAGCAGAAAGAGCAGCAGAGTGTGTTAAGCAGCAGAGTGTGTTAAGCAGCGGAGTGTGATTCTGAGGGGAGCGTGGCGAGCAGCAGCAGCAGCAGCAGGGCACTGACAGGGCGGTGAGGGCGGTGAGCTTGGAGATGTCGGGGGGCATGACGCCGCGCATGAGGCGCCACTTGAGGAAGAGGTCGATGACCTTGCCCTGCCAGTTGCAGTACACCGCCGGCATGTCGTCGGGGCCCTTGAGCACGCCCGACACCGTGCACAGCGTCTGCACGCCCCACCCCGGGTGCGGCACTCCCAGCGCCGTCTTCATGCTCGCCAGCACCGGCACTGCGGGGAGGGGGGCACGCAAGGGGGAAAGCAAAGGGGCAAGCAGGGGGAAAAGCGGTTGGGCGAGGGGGAAAATTAGAGGTGCAAGCAAGGGAGCAAGAAGGGGGACGCACAGCTGCGATAGAAACGGGAAAGGGGGGTGGGAGACAGGGGGCGGAGCAGCATGACAAGTGGGCACGGAACTCACGAGCTGCAGGGTCGATTTGAACGCCAGTGCAGCGCATGGGCAGCATGCCAGCGGTGGCGCTGTTGGGCGTCTTGGTGGCGAGCGGCCCGTCCGTGTTGGGCGAGCACACGCCGCCCCCGCACAGCACATTGGCGGCCGTGCCATTGCAGATGAAGCAGCCGGCAGCATCGCGCTGCACTGAGGAGCCCGCGGAGGTGAATGCGGTGAGACACTTGGAGACGTCGCTTAGGCAGTTGGTGCGCGCGTCACACACGGTGGCGGAGTTGGCTGGGAAGGGGCCTGCGAGGAAGTTGGAGATGACGTTGATGGTCTTGATGGACGCTGAGATGGGGGCCAGGTAGCCCGTGAGGTAGTTGAACTGCACGTTGCTGCAGGCAGGACGGCAGGCGGCACAGTGGTGGGGGCGGTGGAAGAGAAGGGAGAATGGTTGGAATGGTGGTCGGAAAGGGTGGGGTGTGAGGTGTTGCGTGGGAGGTGAGAGTACAGAAGCAGAGTACACATGCACACACGCCATGGGATGTCAAGTGTGCGCATGCAAGCAACGGGTGTGTCTGTGTGTGTGTGTGGGCGCACACGCGCTCGTGTGAGTGTGTGGGTAGGTAGATGGGTTTGTGTGGGCGCATGTATGCGTTTAGGCGTGTGCGCGTGCATGTGTGTGTGTGTGCGCGCGCGCGCGTGCATGCGACTTACAGAGTCGTGAGGGTCGAGAGAGCGAGCAGATAGGCTGGCAGAGTGCCGGAGAACCAGTTGTAGTTGAGAGCGCTGTTTGGGAGGGGTGGAGAGGGATGGAGAAGGGCGAGCTGGATGTGAGGGATGGAGACGTGGGGATGGAGGAGGTGGGGACGGGTGGCAAGGTAATGCGAGCATAAGGAAAGTGAGAGTAAGGCAGGGAAGACCAGGGCAGGGAGGGCAGAGCAGGGCAGGGAGGGCAGAGCAGGGCAGGGAGGGCAGAGCAGGGCAGGGAGGGCAGAGCAGGGCAGGGAGGGCATAGCAGGGATGGGAACGGCAGGGAGGGCGGAGCGGAGCAGAGCAGGCAAGGCAGGTAGGGCAGCACAGAGCAGGGAGGGCGGGAGAGGGCAGGGAGGGCACTGACAGGTGCTTGAGCGACTTGAAGTTGGTGAGCGACGTGGCCCACTCGGGCAGGCGCCCCTCCAGCAGGTTGGATGCCATGTTGCTGCCATTGATTGCCGGGGGGAGGGGGAGAGGTAGGTGGGGGGGGGTGGGATGTGGGTGGTGGATGAGTGCATGAGTATGGCACTCACATGAATGAGTATGAGGCATTTTGCTTGAAAAGTAAGAGATGGGAACCCCCTAAGGCTGGTGGTGTGTGCGGGAGAGCAGTGGGAGGGGCGCTCACATCTTGGTGAGGGCTGTCAGCTTCGTCAAGTCGTCAGGCAGGGTCCCTCGCAGACCCATGTTGACCAGCTCTCTGGGATGACGTCACCATGCCACCATGGCACCATCAAGCGAAACACAGGAAAGAAATTAGTGGCAGCTTAAAGCAGTGGTCCAAGGAGAAAAGAAGAGAAGAAAGCAACAAAAGGAGAAGGGGAAAAGGCAAAAAAGAAAAGGTGCTCAGACTTGCACCTTAATTATCCTTGAGCGTCCCGTGCAGCGCATGTGATGTGAGGAGCACGAAGGGCTGCGGCACTCACAGCGAGACGACCTGGCCGGTGGAATCACAGTAGATGCCCGCCCAGCTGCCGGGCGTGGGGGTGTTGCCCGCCACGCTGCAGGGCGCGTCCAGCAGCCATGTGCTCTGCGACACTCCCAGCGCTGTCTTCAGCACCAGCAGCGTTTGCGCTGCCCCCACACGGCCATGGGGGAAGGCGGGCGGTTGGGAAGAGAAGTCGGGGAGGAAGGGGATTGGTGTGGTGTGGGGGCACAGGGAGGGTAGGGAGGGGAGAACCAGGTAACAAGGAGCGTGATGCACAGAACAGTATGGTACTGATGTGTGTGTGTGTCTGTGTGTGTGTGTGTGTGTGTGTGTGTGTGTGTGTGCGCGCGCGC